TAAAATAGAATGCAGAATAGAATAGAATGCAGAATAGAATAAAATAGGATAGGATAGAATAGAATAGAATATAGGATAGGATAGGATAGAATGCAGAATAAAATTGAATGCAGAATAGAATAGAATGCAGAATAGGATAGAAGAAAATAGAATGCAGAATAGAATAGAATAGAATGCAGAATAGAATAGAATGCAGAATAAAATAGAATGCAGAATAGAATATAGAATAGAATTTAGACTAGACTAGGAACAAGAACCAGAACAGAATATTTGGCCAAGTGTGATTAGACACACAAGGAACCTGCCTCCGGTGCAGAAACTCTCAGTGTACATGCAAAGCAACAGAATCATCATCATCACAACAAAAATAATACTAATAAGAAGGGGGAGCAAAGAATATAATAAGGACAAGCAGAACTACAGCAACACAACATGAGTTCATAGATATTAGGCAGCACTGTGGGAATCGGATGTTCAGCGGGGTGAAGGCACGAGGAGGAGGAGGAGGAGGAGGAGGGGGGAAACCTGTCCCTGTGTCCATTTGTTTTGGCATGCAACGCCCTGTAGCGGTGTCTAGAGGGGAGGAATCGGAACAGTTTTATGTCCAGGATGTGAGGGTGTCTGCAGGTATCTTCTCGGTCTACTTTCTGAGGTCTTCTGTAAGTTGAGGAGGTACCTCTTCAAGAAATGCAAACAGGCCTGGGACTCGTTTCTCCCTCTGGAAGGAGAAATTCATGGCCACCACTGAGAAGGCCTGTTTTCCTGAACCACACCCCAGGGCCTTCCCCAGGTCTTCTCTTGGGAGTAATACGGGATGATTCCCATTTTTTTCTCTCCCTCTGGATGTAATTGTGGCTCCCGAAACTCTTGTCAACTGTGGGAGCGGGGCTTACGGATTTCTACCAAAGCATTGTCCTGAGTGAGGCCTCTCCTTTCCCAACAGAGCCTGAGGACCACACCGTCCAGCAGCACCTCTGGATCCCGTCCAGCGTCTCTTGGCTACACCGGCGCGGCGGGGCCTCGGCCCATCACACAGAGCGAGTTGGCCACGGCCCTTGCCCTAGCCAGCACTCCAGAGAGCAGCTCGCACACCCCAACGCCTGGAACGCAGGTCAGCGGGAGGCCAGGGAGAGAGTTTGGCTAATCTCAAAAGCCACTGGTCGAGTTTCTAGTCCCTCTGGAGTGGGGGCAGAGGAGACTGGCCATGGGAAAGAGCCGGTCTAAAGCAGCGTTGCTCAACCGTGGCCACTTGGCAAAACTTTTGTGGACTTCGACTCCCGGAATTCCCCAGCCAGCCTGGGGTTGCAGTCGTGGCAGTCCAATTTACCTGGAGGACACCAGGTGTTTTCTGTCTTCCTCCTTTTCAGGGCCATTCCTCCGGCACATCTCCCATGTCGTCTAGCGTGCAGTCGGGAACACCCATCACCAATGACCTCTTCAGCCAGGCCTTACAGCACGCCCTCCAGGCATCAGGACAGCCTAGCCTTCAGGTCTGTAAACCTCCAGGAAGTTGGGATGGTCCATTCATTCATTCATTCATTCATTCATTCATTCATTCATTCATGTCCTTGCATTTCGGTTCAGCCCTCCAATAACCTAAATTAGGAAACTGGAGGCATCCTAGAGTACCCAAGCTAAATCTCAAAAATGCTGGGAATTCCTGGAAACTTGGCATTCTGATGAAACTGGCCATCAACAGACACACAGAGATAAACCACATTTGCACACCATTCAAAAAAGGCAATTAAAAAAAAAAAGGTAAGGAAACGAAAAGACCAGAATGCACCTTCTTCAGTAGCTTGCTTTCAGATAAGCAAGGATTAACACCAGACAAACAAGCAGAAAACAATACCCCACTACCAAGGAAAGTACCAAGGAAACCTCCTCACCCACACCCCCAACACTGGCAGAGCAAGTTCCCTGTACACATTTACCCAGAGCAAACTCCACACTCACTCACGCTGATGATGACATATAATTGGGTAATGAAAGGTCCATAAACAACCAAGCTCAGAGAGCCCCAAGGTCCCTTTATTATCTACAACTTTGCCCCCAATGTCCAGATTACCTTCAGCTGGACAAAAACTCTCCCAGGAACAGCCGTTAACTGTAGAAAATTCAGTCCAAAACAAGGTATGCACAAACTATAATTTAAAATCCAAACAAACCAAACTGAATTAATTAGTTTGACAGGGAAGAATTTCAGACTTGAAAGCACGGCAAAAATCACACAGTTGGGAAGACGCCAGGAACCCAGATAAGTCATGACGATACAAGATAAATTCACGTTTGCTCCCAACAGCTCGCTGCGTGCAGCTTCCTTTTTTATACACTGTGTTACCAGCTAATGAAGGGAATCAGGGCCCTTTCCTCCCCCGTAAACCACGCAACCCCCGTTGCTCCCTTCTCTATTCTTCCCTGCATTCCCTAGGATGAAGAGGGGGTGGGCCTGGGTCTTCCTCTGAACTCCCTCTCCTTTGCTCTACCTCTTCCCTATTCTGCCTAGCCGGACTTTGCCCTTCCCCAGTTTCTTCCACAGCCGACGGAGCCACACTCCCACTCCCTGTCAGCTGCTCGGCTTCCTCCTCCGAGTCAGATTCCGGCAGGGGCATATGACACCGGGTCCCCGGCTCTATCTGTGTCCATGGCGGTGTTTGACCTGGTCTCCCTTCCCCCTGTCCGCTTTCCTCTTTCAGAGCCAGTGGCAACCCCAGCTGCAGCAGCTGCGAGACATGGGCATCCACGACGACGAGCTGAGCCTCCGAGCCCTCCAGGCCACTGGGGGCGACATCCAGGCTGCCCTGGAGCTCATCTTTGCGGGGGGAGCCCCTTAACCTGTCCCCGAGGCCTCCCCCCCCATTCTGCAGGGGGCGACCGCGTGCACCTCCGACCTCAGCCCCGCCAAGCCAGCCCTTCGACGTGCGTCGCCTCCCCGTTCCCTGGCGTGTTCTTCTTCCTCGTCGTGTTGTCCAGAGTCCAAGAACGTTATGTCCCATCTGCTTTTCCTGGTCTCCAGACAACTCAGTTTAGTTTAGCCAAACAGCTGCCCTTGGAAGACGGGAAAAGTTCCAGGATTCAGAATTTTTGGTCGGCCGCTCCAGAAACGACCCAGCTTTGCCGCATCCCGAAAAAAGTCTTCCTCTGACCATTTCAAGGATGCGCTCATTTTCCCACCCCACCCCCTCTTCCTTGTGGTTTTATTCCTGCCCCGGCCAAGATCCCCGTGTGGCTTTTGCTGGACTGTCTCATTAAAACCTGGTTTCCTCCAGATCATCCCTGGCTTTGTTTCTTGCTGCTGCTATTTGGGTTATCCACACAGGTCATAATTGCAAGAGGTGGTTTACTTTTGGTTTTGTTGAGTTCAAAGTTAGAACTGCCTCGGGGCGGGGAAAAAAAGGCGTTTTACAACCAGTTCTGGTACTTATGACCAGGGGTGGGCTTCCGACATTTTAGCAAAGAGTTCTCTGCCCCGGTTGCTAGGTGGGCCGGGCCATGGTGGGCACGGCCTAGTTGGCCTCCTAGTTGTTCCTCCTGGCGGAAAAGAACAAGAAAGTCCAGTTGCCTGTTGGAAAAAAAAGCACCTTTGGGACAACCAAATTAGCTGGAGGACTGACAGTCGCTACAGACTTTTAGGTGTACAATTTGGGACGAAGACCCTTCGAATGGTGTGGAAGGATGAACGGATTTCCAGAGGGAAAAAAAATGCAGACTACAGGAACCAGGAGCACCACTCAGGTGACGCTGAGGACACGGGTAAACCTCCAAGTGGCCTCAATGACTCTCTAAAAAGGATGCAAATGACCAGCTCTCTGCAAGGAGTATCAATCCTCCCATTCCCTACCATCCAAGTCAGAGCTGAAGAGGCTTCTTGGATGAGAAGCGAAACGACTTCAAAGGAAAACCCCCCAGAAAAGTCCAGTTGCCTGTTGGAAAATGCACCTTTGAGACAACCAAATTAGCTGGAGGACTGAGAATCTCTACGGACTTCTAGCTATATAATTTGAGATGAACACCCTTCGAATGGGGTGGGAATAAGGAATGGATTTCCAGAGGGAAAAAAAATGCAGACTACAGGAACCAGGAGCACCACTCAGGTGACGGTGAGGACACAGGTAAACCCCCAAGTGGCCTCGGCGACCCTCTCACAGGATGCAAATGACCAGCGGTCTGCAAGGAGTATCAATCCTTCCATTCCCTACCATCCAAATCAGAGCTGAAGGGGCTTCTTGGATGAGAAGCGAAACGTCTTCAAAAGAAAAAAAAAAACCCCAGAAAGTCCAGTTGCCTCTTGAAAAAAAAAAAAAAGCACCTTTGGGACAAACAAATGACCTGAAGGACGGATAATCTCTATATAGACATTAAATGGAAGAGGAAAAAATAATAATAATCTTGTTGGACAGCAGAGGGTGCTGTTTCTCCAACACCATCGCCGCACCATTTTAAAGATTTCAATCCAACTTCCGAAAAGAGATTTGGGAATAAAGTTTCCCCATTTCCCCCTCTTCCTAATTTGTTTTTTTGTTTAAATCTGCTGGATTCCTGCCCCGGTGACCTTTTAGAGCACTTTTAGTCAATGGATCCTTGGGCTGGGACGAGAATCACTTGCTTTGACCGACAGGAATGAAAGAATTCTTTCAGGAAGTGAAAAAGTGCATTGTGCTACGCGGGAAGTAAGGAATCGCAAAATATTTTTCTCCCCAGAAACTCCAAAACATCCTTTCTTGTAGAGGGGAAGGGAGTAGGATGGACCAGGATGGAATGTTTTTATAGGTACTCCTCGCTTAACGACTGGCCGCCTAGTGAATTCATTTACAAGGGACTCTTTCCTCTGCAAATATAACTTCACGAATTGCAGCATTCCAAGATCCCGTGACAGCAATTTATGATGACTTCTTGCTGGTTTCTGGCCTGTTTGTGGCTTTGCAATGGAAATCCTGGTCATTAGTCAAGTGCTCTTTTTAAACAGAACGTAAAGAATCTTAAGCTTTCCAGCAAGCTTTTAAAAAGCCTGGTTGGTATTTCCGTCCTGATATTCTTGGGTTAAAGTCAAGGGGTTCTTGGTGCTCTCTGAGCTTGGTGGTTTTCTTGCAGTCATTTCATTACCCAATGTAGGCCATAGCACTGATGATGTTCCCTAGCTGGGTCATGAAAGGTCTTCAAGAAAACAACCAAGCTCAGAGGGCAGTAAGGCTCCCACAGTTCTCCTCAATTCCAAACCCCATTCCCTTCTAGCATGGATGATATTCTCTAGTTGGGTCATGAAAGGTCTTCAAGAAAACAAAAACGGAGGGCGGAGCTGGCGTCGCGACGATACGGCATGCGATCTCGGAGGTCTGAAATCGCAGCCGATATCTTTGCCTTTGGACGGTCCAAACGGATCTAAACTGTCCCGAAGAGACGGCGAAAGTGAGGAGCACATCCTGCGGATCCCAGGGACACCGCAAAGTCCCTGGTAGATCCAGGAGAAGCTCTTCTTGCCAGCGGCAAAGAGGCAGCCATTAAAGCTGCTGAAGTTGGGACAGCTCCGAAACGGAAGAAGAAAGAGAAAGTGTGCCGGCTTGGTGAGAACTCTTTTATTTTAAGATTTGAAAAGAAAACAAAAATACGATCTACCCTGAAAGTAAGTCCTACCTTGATTTTTACACTTGCGCCCAATATAAGCCCTATCCCCAAAATAAGCCCTAATTAAAATCCCACCCATTCCGGAGTGCACGGAGTAAAAATTAAGCTAGCGTGGGGATGGGAGGGTGTTGGAGCTGCCCTACTACTTACCTTTGGATAGTTGTAGCCAGGCCTCGCACACCCCAACACCTGCCTTGCCAGCCCATTTCTTCTGCTGCCCGCAAGGCTGGCCAGGCTTTCCTGAAGGCCTCTGTAGCTGATAACAAAGCTCTGGATCGATCCGGAGCTCTGTTATTGGCTGCAGAGGCCTTCAGGAAATAACAATAGCACTTATATACCACTTTATAGTGCTTTACAGCTCCTCTCTAAGCAGTTTATAGAGTCGGCCTCTTGCCCCCCAACAATCTGGGTCCTCATTTTACCCACCTCGGAAGGACGGAAGGCTGAGTCCACCTTGAGCCTGGTGGGATGCGATCTGCCAAATTGCAGGCAGCCGGCAGTCAGCAGAAGTAGTTTGCAGTACTGAACTCTAACCACTACACCCCCGAAAGCCTTGCCGGCTGCAGCAAAAGAAGTTCCTGAAGGCACCTGACAGCGAAAAGGAGGCTGGGGGCAACGCGCGCAAGTGAGGTTAGTCAGTGGATGACATTCCCCCAAAATAAGACACGGTGCCTTTTTGGGTGGCAAAAATATATAAATATAAGACAGGGTCTTATTTTTGGAGAAACACAGTATCTCCAGAAGACCCTTTCCCCAACCCCTCACTAGTGATGGTAGACCTGCAAGCAGGTTCAACTTTACCCACGATGGTTCCAGGACACCCACTCAACATTCAAAGAGTGAAAGGTGAAGCACAAATTTCATTGCCTCCAGTGGGTTTTCCACGGGGGACTTCAGATCGATAGGAAAGTCTTTTTCAGAATGAGTTTTGCTAACACCAAGTGTTTCGCCATACCAGAGGATTTCTACCGAGAAATTTAAGTAAATTGAAACCACAGCTGCAGAGGTGCAATGGAATAGTTGACTGTTTCTCACTTTAGGTGTGCATTGAAAATTCAATGTAAAAAACAACAGCCCACAGGTTTCCTGCCTGCAAATGGTTAACTCTATGTTGCCCTTGAATGTGCATTCTCCATTTCCTGACCATCTTCTGCCATTTCCAGTCATCTTAATGCAGCCAAGATTGGGGGAAACTGCTTTCGCGAATATCAACTGCTCTTCAAAGCCACGAATAAAATTCTTGTGTCCTGTGAGGTGGAAGAAAAGACAGATAATGGGAGAGACTAGTCCTTCTCAACCTTGGTGACTTGAAACTTTGTGAACTCCCACTCCCAGAATTCCCCAGCCAGCCTGGGATTGCAGGCTGGGGGATTCTGGGAGTTGAAGTCCACAAAGTTGGCAACTTGAAACTTTGTAGACTTCAACTCCCAGAATTCCCCAGCCAGCCTGGGATTGCAGACTGGGGAATTCTGGGAGTTGAAGTCCACAAAGCTTAAAAATTGCTAAGGTTGTGAAACACTATAATCTAGTATCTTAAATACATAACTGAAAACCCATCTTAGCATTTATGTCTTCCTGTGGTATTTATTACACGCTGGAATTCTTCAAGTAATTGCATCTTGCAGAAACTACTAGCTGCATGCCTGCATATCCAAAGACAATTATTGGATTCCTTCCGGCCTTGCAGGAAATAACCTGTTTCAGATGCCGTTAAACCAGAATGTTGGTTGATGGGTTTGAAATCCTTTTGGCTTTTCTCTGGCTCGATGGATTTTATATTGTCACACCGAATTCTCAAACCTCCCCCGGCAATGTGGGTTTACCCAAGCAACACTGGATAGTTAATAATGGGTTTATTCCCACATTCCCCATTAAAATGCACTTTGAGTTTTCTCTCGGGGTGGTTAAGAACGGTAATCTCTCTTTACTTTTCTTCCAAATCTCTGTTTCCAGTATTTTGGTCCTTCAATTTCAATTCCATGCCCCAAAACTTGATGTTTTCTCTGCTGTTCATTCACAATGAAGTCATATTTTCTCCCAACAGCCGGCAATAGTAATAGTAATTCATTTAAATGGAAATAGCACCCTCCGATGACATTTATTTTACAAGGGGAGGCCGAACAGATTCATTCCTGTAGAATGCTGATGATCTCACTGCAGAGGGATAAATAGCAAATTCAGCTTAAAATAGCCGCAGAGAAGACTTGTGGGTTCACCAGCAACCGCTATCCAGTTGGACAAGAAGGCTGCTCCTCTGATTCGAAAATTTTAAGTTTTTTCTTAAATTTGCAAGAACGGGCATGAGGGGCCCAAAGCTGACAGGGTTCAGATTTGGAAGCGTGAACACTCAGCATTGGCAGAGGATAATTTTAGGGTTTGCCTCCTCTGGGAAGGAGGGTTGGTGGGTCCTAAGCAGGGGTGGGATTCTACCGGTTCAGACCAGTACAGGCTGTTAAAGTTAAGGAAAATGGGCCTTCCGGAAGTCTGGAAACAGGCCTGTTTCTGGCTTCTAGAAGGCCCCCAGAGCCCGGGAAGACCGTTTTCACCCTCCTACAGGCCCAAGGGAAGCCTCCGGATCCTTGGGAGGGCGAAAAATGGCCCAGAAATGGGCCTGTTTCTGGCTTCCGGTGGGCCTTCAGAGCCCGGGGA